CAAGATAAAACCTTGGAAAGCAACAGGCCCAGACGGCATACAGGGCTTCTGGTGGAAGAAAATACCAGAGGCAAGAGAGAGGCTAAAATCGTGGTGCCTTGATGCGCTACGTATGCCTCATAGAATCATCCCTAATTGGTTGTGTAGAGGGAAGATAGTTCTGATTCCAAAAGGGAGCGCCGGCGCCCGCGGGCCCGGCGACTTCCGTCCGATAGCATGTTTAAATACATGCTACAAAGTCCTGACCGCCATGGTAGCGCAACAGATACTCCTGAGCGCTGGTGATGTGCTCCCTCCGGAGCAGGTAGCCTTGCGCAAAGGAATCTGGGGCTGCACCCATGCGCACATTTTGGATCAGACTATCTGTAAAGACGCCTTAAGGCGCAAAAACGTACTACACACCTTATGGGTAGACATGACCAAAGCCTTCGACTCCGTGTCTCATGGCGCTATTAAGTGGATCTTGGCAAGAGCCGGAGTGGCCTCCCCTACAAGGAGGCTGCTCTCGGTTATCATGTCCAAGCAAAGCGTCAGGTATTGCGGACGTCAAAATGGCAAAATGGTCAAGAGTGAACCGTTAGGGGTCAAGAAGAGGAGTGATGCAAGGGGATACCCTCAGTCCGCTCCTCTTCTGTATGGCCATAGCTCCTATATCGGCGTGGCTACGTAACAACGTTAGCCCGTATAGAACATCCACCGGAGCTCTGACTTTGCCAGAAGGACCCCTAGAGATCAACCATCTCTTCTATATGGATGATCTAAAGGTTTACTCGCCCAGATGGGATGATATAGTGAAAGCCCAAGAGGGCATCCAGAAAGTGGCTGGAGAGTTAGGACTTCGAATGAATCCCAGCAAGTGTGCTGTGAATTCACTGAACCACCCCCCGCCACTGGTCACAACACCTGGGATGGAGAGATACCTGTCCTAGGTTCAAGTTCGCTCTACAAGTATTTAGGAGCAGAACAAAACGCTCTTGTAAGTGTGGATCAACTGTGGTCTCGTACTAG